AGGCCTTCATCCAGCGGTGAATAGATCATGGCTGATGGTGCCATTGATGATAGAGATTTGTATGATTAAAGTCGCTCTCGTGAGCGGCCAGTCACTTACTGCCGTCCTCAGTAGCAAAGGAGGGCTTCTAAAGTCAGCTCGAAATGTTTTTGAATGCAGCTCCCAGGCTCCGTTGCCATTGTCCAGAGCTTTGTGTAGATCTGTGGCTGGATAGGGCAGAGGGGTGGTGGAGGCAAACCCCCCTCCCCCTTCCCACAGCTGCTCAGCAATGTTAAAAGGCATCGCGCTATCATGCAATCTGTTGTAGAGTGTGGGATGCTAAATAACAGGCAGCGGTCACTGCCAAGACTGAGATCTCTTGGATGGTAATGTCAAAGGCCAAACAAAACATTCCAGCAACTGCACTGCGTAAAAAAAAAAATATGTATTTTTAATGGAAATGGGATCTCACCCCCCGCCCCAAAAAAACAAATAACAACAATAATGTATGGCCCTTTGTGAATCCACTGTTGGATACATGCCGTATTAGTAATGGGGATAATGCCTTGTTTTTCACCATACTTCACCATGCTGGTCAGTGCAGCGTGTTGGTGAAGGCGGTGTCCAGGACCGGTTCAGGTGCCACTCGCCACCGCCTGGAATCGAACCCATGGGACCGGTTTTGTAGTGCTTCCCCTCTGCGCCACCACCCCACCACCACCCCACCACCACCCCACCACCACCCCACCACCACCCCACCACCACCCCACCACCACCCCACCACCACCCCACCACCACCCCACCACCACCCCACCACCACCCCACCACCACCCAATTAAGAAGCATATTATTTACACATGCAAAGCTGAGCCTGGGGTGACATGAACTCTATAAGTCCAGAGATTTGCATGAAACGTCGTATGCTATTATTTAATTTATTTTCTTTCTACGTGACTTTACCGAAAGAACCAAAGAGTAATTCCCGCAGTCACGAAAGCTCCAAATCAAGTCTATAAGTCCACTGTTAATGAATTACCTCCTATTTTAAACGAAACAAAAAACTAAATCTGAGTCACTATGTGTTTAAGGAGTACAGTATATGTCTTTTCTTTCCTCGCAATGTAAATAATTGTTGCACCGCGTTTAAACACCTTTATTTACTGTGCGTGCCTAGCAGAGTAAAGGTTAACTCCGAGCGGGTCACAATTATTATTGATTGTGACGCCCCCTTGTGTTGAGGGAGCCATACATTGTGCATGATTGTCTTGCCCTATGCTGCAGGCTAAATAGCCCAATACATCACCGAATGCACGAGCAGTGTTCTCTGAATTCCAAAAAGGGCACAGTAGCAAGTAGTAACTACAGCGGAGGCATTTACCGGCGCTCAGCCTCGCGTGCGCCACGCTAAATTCTGCTTGGGCTTGCGTTTCGCAAGCTGCATGCAATGCACGGAGAATTGGAAATCACAGCTCCTGTCAGCAGACATTCCTGATGCAGCGGTGCATTGCACAATGGGGTTTTTGCAAATTGAGCCCACGCTAGTGTTTCCACGCATTGTGTGTGTTTGTTGAAAAGCTTGCCAGCCGCCAGGAAGCCGCGAAGCATTCCCGGCCGGGCGCTTATAATTGACCATTCATACAGCACCTTTCGGCAAATTTGAGATGCACCATAGATTGTCGGAATAAGCCCATAAATCCCAGCACTGCCTCGCTGCAAAGCGCAGCGTGCCGTAATTCAACACTACTTAATGAATTTCCACCTCTCCCACCCAATTCGGTACACAAAAGGTGGGGTGGGAGGGAGGGCGGGGAAAGCAATAATGCGAATCCGTGTCGTGGAGTGGCAGGTGTAATGCAGAATGTAAGTATATTGGGGTGGTATGATCAGATCCTGGAGTGAAAGAGCAGACCGAAAGAATATAAAATCGGCGGATGGGTTCTGCTCTCTAATTTTTGCACATAGCACATTGCCTGTATTTATTTTTTTGCGTACGTGCGTGTGTGTGTGTGCAAGGTAGGTATATATTTGTGTTACTATTATTACGATAATTTACAGCTCTTTGTCATTTCCCTGCTGGGTGAAGGCCTGCCGATGCCATCTTCGAAATGCTTTTTTTACCACACTCATATCTTGAACCAGCGCCCTAGTTCAGATATCAGTTGCGATAACAATGTGATATCTGATATCCCTGATGATAGATATCACATCGGATATCTTATATCAGCGTGGCTGGGAATAGGAGTCAGAAGCCGGAAGGTTTATTGCGCTGTGCGCTAACCACTGTGCCTCCACTACACCTGCATATGAAATGTATTAATACGTATTTTTTCACGGAATACATGCTATATATAGTATTTCTCAGAATTCCAGGCATGTATGTGCATATATCGCCGTGAGGAGCTGTGTTCGCCACCCACTGTGTTCAGTTGGAGGTAATCTCCACACAGCAGTGTGCCTAAACTATTTTAAGTGGGTAGTAAATCAATATAAATGTACCACAAAAAGAGAAGACTTTACATACGTAAATAACAGCCATTCTCAATGCAGCAATGGATTTAGGCCGCCCCCTGCCCTGTCGGTCGGTCAGGGGTGGCTTTGTTTACCATTCTCCAACCACGCTGGTCAGTGCGGTTTGGTAGAAGGTGGAGGAAGGCAGGACCGATTGTAACATCACCTGCCACTGACATTGGGCGTGTTGAGGAATTGCATTCGGATCGCTGGTTTCATGCCATTGCTTGTGAACCAGCGTAAACCAATGTTCCACCCGTATGTACGTCTCAAATAAGTAAACCCGTAAAAACAAAGTTTCTCACTCTAAATCCTTTATATGCGTGGCGGCTAGAGTCCTCTCGTCTTCTGGCTTGAGATGGCTGCCACCTATGGGTCAGATGATTGTCTGCAGTATTAAACAATTGGTAATTAAATATTTAATTTGTTTTTCCTAAACAGTGGAAAAATTTTGAATTTTTTTTTCACGAACATTGTGCAAAATGTCAGCTCGATTGGATCACGGGAAGTGGGTTAAAAAACGACCGAAAGCTTTGCACGGTCGTAAGCAAGCAAGCAAGCACGCAAGCAAGCGAACTTAATATAAAGGATTTAAAAATAGACTTGGGTTTAATTAAATTATGTTTTAATTGCATCCCCCAATTTTCTTTTTTTTACTACCTTCTTTAAGTGTCAGCAGAGTGGAGCTCCTATTATTTGTACACTTACTATTTGCGAGTCTCATCATCGATCGGCAACCCCCAAGTCTATCCACAGACATTCCGAATGTCCGTATTTTTAAATCCTTTATATTAAGTTCGCATGCTTGCTTGCTTGCGTGATTGCTTGCTTGCTTAGGACCGTGCAAATCTTTTGGTCGTTTTTTAACCCACTTCCCGTGATCCAATCGAGCTGACATTTTCCACACAGACTCGTTGTGCCAGACAATTAATGTTCGTGAAAAAAAATTCCCAAAATTTTACACTTTTTAGGCAAAAAAAAATATTTTACATATATTCAAATAGAACTCATTCATCGCTTTGGCTGAACGTCACAGTATAAGAGCCAAGAGCGTAACCCCTCCACAGGCCGTGGCGGAGTAGCGCAGTTGGTAGCGCCCTCGCTTCCCATGCCAAAGGTCGCGGGATCGATCCCCGCGTCCTCCACAGGCGAATATATTTTTAAATCCTTTATATTAAGTTCGCTGCCACGCATATAAAGGATTTATAGTGAAAAACTTTGTTTTTACGGGTTATACTTATTTTTATGTTGGATGGAGTCCCGGATTACATTCATGCTGTGGTCCAAGTTTATCTGCGGCTAAGAGGCACATTGAAAATTGGTCACCAACGGCACCGCATTCACTTTATTATCCACATGTATCCACGGGCGATTGAGTAGATAAATAGGATATATTTATATATTTAAGAACTACCGATGAACATGGTTTGCTGTGTACGGCGCGAAAGAAGTTCAACATACCTGGGTACATAATGGGTTGCGCTACTCAGTGAGAGATCCGAATGGATTTTTTATCTCATGAAGTGACGAGTTTTGCACAACATTTGGTCCATATGTTGGCGCAGTGGTTAGCAACAATAAATACAGGGTGCTTCAAAAAAACGTTAACACTTGAATGAGACTATCGTTTTCAAAGGGAAATGAACGGATAATACACTGTAACATTATAACAAATGTATTTTAATAGCTTCAAAAGATCAGTCTCCGCTTGTTCGCCACCGTTGTCAACACATTGCTTGGAATCTTCTCCAGGTGGTCTCCAGAGCCCCGGAAGCAGCACATTTCTCGTTGAATTGTTGCAAATTCTACGAAGTGTTCACATCTTTTTGAAGCACCCCCCATTGTATATCCGAATGCTCACGAAACACGTATCGATTCGTGTGTGTGCAAGAATCGATATTATTTTTTCTTCTTCTTTCCAAATTCAGTTGACGTTGTATGTAATCGGTCATGGGGCCAATAATGGCAGGTGAGGGCTGTCTCATTCACCATAATGCAATAGGGGCCGTCCATAAATGACGTCACGCGATTTTGGAAGATATTTAACCCCCCTCCCTCGTTCGTCACACGGCGTCACAAAAAGTCAGACTCCCCCCCCCTCAAATATGAGGTCTGCCCCCCCCCAAAAAAAAAACATGCTTCAAATCGCTTTAAACTATTGTCATTGTAGTGCGTATTTAATGTGGCGCTGCACTCTGATTTTGTAGGAGAAAACATTTATTAAAACGTCTATTTATTCAAGTAGAACGTGTTGTCTATATTTATGTAAAGTTGCGCATTTTGATGTGACGTCACATTTTTCAAACCCCCCCCCCCCTCGTCACACATCATCACAAATGTCTGACCGCCCCCCCTAGGTGCGTCACGCCATTTATGCACGGCCCATAGTACACTTACAAAATTTGGAACCACCAATAGCACCCCCCCTCCCCCCAAGCGCATCGATGTGGATACACAAAAAAGTGTCATCCGGTAGAGTTGTTCACTTGTTAATACAACAAGGACTTGCTCACCTGGAGAATTCAATTCCAGGAGACTTCACTCTGCTGCCGTTGCGCCGCCATTCCGCACCTGGTAACAAAAACAAATTCGGAAAACGATTCCGCTTTGTAATACCATACTTCGGGCAGAGGAGCAACAATTCAGAAGCACTCTCCGGCTGAATGTACAAAAGGCGCACTGAAGTTTTATAGGACTTCGCTGACACAAATGCAGCGCATTGTAAAAGGCTACATTGTAAACGTTAAAAGAGTATGATACTACAGCTGCACCAAAGCCTACGCTTTTATTGCAAAAAACGTACCGTTCACTGTAAAATTATATACCAGCATCTGCAGCCCAGAACGAAATGCACTATAAGATTTACACAATACAGTAAAGGGTGGATAACTCAGACGTTCCTACCCACCTGTCTTCCTACACATTACATTCCCCTGGGCAAGGGGGAGGCGGGGGTGGAGAGCACAGGTGGAGTTAGGGAGAGGTGAGTGATTAGGTTCGGGTCCGTGGTGGCAAAAGGTGAGAATGGAAGTGTTAAATTTGACACCTCCGCACTAAACATAGGGCTGCAAAATACATGGGTGCCGAGCAATAAAAGGGGGCCCAGAGTGGAGACAGTCCTGTTAGATGCTTAACAAAGGCTTATTGCAAAAATCCTCCTGCTTCAAGAGACACGGAGTATTGTTCCAGCAGTATAAATCTCGAGCGCATCACAAAGGTGTTGTATTGGACCGACGTTAAGAAGATAAAAAATATATAATAATTTTGACACAGCTGCAAAATCCCATTGCAGAAACGTAGACCCAACCAAGTCGCATCGGTCTGACTCGTGACAAAGAATCTAGCCCGTCAAGTTGGAAAATCTCTGCTCTTCAGCAAACATCAATGTAACCATTCTCGTTATTGTGTACAATATTAGTAACAATATAAATAACCAGACAATACGAACCCTCTCACATAGCTGTGGCTTGTACACAACCCCACCAGCCGCACGGCCTTCTGGGAGAGCGTAATTTCATCTTCAGTGGTCCGACACAAGTAAAATAAATAAAAATTTGGCTGATGGGATGTGTACAAAAAAACAACATCAATCTGATCATTTCTCACGACAGATTATTTCCCAGGAACAACCAAGGACACCAGATGCCTGCTGATACCACAGGCTGCAGATAGCAACATTCATGAGCTCAGTGAGATGGATGGTACAGTCAGACTGGAGTGCAATGTGGACGGAGGGAACGGGTAAGCCACACAAATAATTAACTCACCTATTGTTGCTGAACTATAACATTAGATCACAATGTTTTATTGAAATGTTTATTAAACATAGGGCTGAAATGCTCATTGTAACACAATATATGGTTAAGCATAATAAATTCCATCCATTCTAAATTTACCAGTGGATAAAGGCTTTCCCATGTCATGTCAGGTCTTGGGAGTTCTATGATCATACTTCACCACATTGGTTAGCGTGGATTAGTGAAGGCAGATGGGAGGGTAGGATCAGTTGTGATATCGCTTGCCACTGATGCCAGACCTGGCTGGGAATCGAACTTGGGTTTGCCAGGATCATAGCACATCACGCTAACCACTGTACCACTGCTCTCGCCAAGGCATTGCACTTCGATGTCCACGCGAAGTCCCTTTGTTAGTACTTCATCCAAGACTGCAAGACAAAGATCCCCCGTTAAGCTTCAACAGACTGTAGAGGCAAGTGCTGTTGGAGAGCGCCTCTGAAGGCCAGCACGGCACACGAGGGAGTGGGTGGCCAACACCGCGCCCGGCCACCCCTGTCTCCCGAGTGGCAATGTTTTTATACACTGCACCAGGCACCCATTTGAGGCTGAGTCGACCTAGGTAAGGCGCAAATATACGTCACTGGTGTTAGCCGTGAGCGGGAATCGAACTCGCGTCGCCGGGTTCATAGCGCAGCGTGCTACCACTCCCCACTACTGCACCACTGCCTTCACAGCCCTGTCACTGTCGAACCGCTTTCCACATTGATGTTCTCTCAGAGATTTGAAGCTTTCGTGACTGCAATGATTCATATTCTTAGGTTTTTTCGGTAAAGTCTCCAACCATTATATAAACGGAGTGGTAGCTCCTGCAATCTCTCATTTACTTGATACAGCTGTCGTGGCTGTGACGGTACCACCTGAAGACGGAAACGTCGTGATTTTTATTTTATTTTACTTTTTAATGTTTTTACCTACGTGACTTTACCGAAAAAACCTAAGAATAGTTCTCTCAGAGGTTTGAAGCCAGAGGAGTCTTAACGAGCTATGTCTGGATTAGTGTAGCAGATGAACCACACAATCAACCCATCCAGGCTTACCCAGAAATTCTGCAATTGTAGGTGCGGAGATTGAGCGTGCGTTATCATGTGCCCTTTATTAACAGTCCATGGCATTTCTGATGAATGTCACGCTTCACATTTGTTTTTTCAATTAAATTCCCCAAGAAGTTCCAATATGACATTTCAACAGTTGTGATTATGTGAGACAAGAAGTGCGTTGCTGTTTGCTGTTTGGGCTTACATTAAAGTTTCGGCACCCAGTTGGTACAGGGACTCATCTACTTACGAACGAGTTAGGTTCTGTTTGAAAGTCGATATGTTCGTAAGTCCAACTTTACTGCTGTCGATTCCAAACGCGTTCCACGGCATCTACACTAAACACGGGGAATGGGTTTCAAAGTTGTGCAATCTCCTGTAGATGTCACTGGTTCTTCGTACTACCGCCCTCAACACTCTCACCACTCTTACGCTTCTGAGACATGATGGGGGTTGATAATGTTCGCGAAAAGCACAGACAACGTCGTAGTGAACCGCACAGTGACAACACAACAAGAGACAATGGCGGCGGCCCAGGCAGAAATGCTGGGAATGCTGGGTAATGACACTGAACAACCACCGCCATCTATTGCACAGCGGTTGAACTTAAAACTTTCGGTCTGAACAGGCAACTGGACATACGGACAGGTCTGTCCGTATCTCTGAAAGTTCTTAAGTCGAATGTTCGTAAGTAGACGAATCCCTGCATACACTTTTTGGATATTCAACTTGTAATGGATTATTAAATTACTTCTTCCTGTACTTGCCCATAAAACCTCCGGTATATATTTAATTCATGCTTGCCTGTCATCCAAAATCAAACTTCGCAACACGAGCAACGTTGCCTAGAGTTGAATCAGCAACTGGAATTGCACTTCTGTTGTCAACAACACAAATATATGTCGATTGCAGGAGTTGCAACGTTTACAAACAATGCATTGATTCATTCGGTAGTCACCATATTGCAGCCTCATTGCCCAATACATTTCACTTTACACCTTCCAATACCAAAAACAAACACAAATAATAATTCGCCTCTTTTATAATGTGCAGTTGGGAAAGGGTACCACCATCTTTAAATACGTGATCTGTTTTGGTTTCTTGTGGAAAACATCTGTAAAAAATTGCACATGTTGATCCCGGCACTTCCCTATGCATTGTGCAATTAAAAATATATCAATGACAGCGATATTTGTTGAAGACTTATTACGTATCTTTGGGGTCGAGACTTGGCCAAGAATTTGCACATTTTGAACTTGAAGCAAGAGGTTTTCAGTTCGAGTCCTGTATTATAATGTTGTCATTCTTTAAAAAAATCCAAATTTGAAAAACATTTCTAAATTTCCTAGTTGGGTGAAGCCACATGGTGACATCAGCACTTCCTGTGAGATTAAAAAACATTTTTAATTTACCAGATAAGGCCCACTGAGCTGTATAGCTCTTTTTCAGAAGTGACCTGGCCACAAATGATAACTCAACGAAGTGGCTTATCATGTGCACATTTATAGCAGCCAAACACTAACAACGCACACGTTTATAAATGCGGAGGGAAAAACCGGAGGACCCGGAAAAAAAATCTCCACGAGACCATGGGGAACACATGCAAACTCCAAATATACAGAAATACACGGTCGAACCCACGATCTCCTCCATACCAGGCAAGGGAGTAAACATCTCGCCACAATGCCACCCCAACTACCACGTACTATACTCGTCTCTGTGAATCTTCGTGCCTCCATGAAGGGGCCTTTTCCTCTAAGAATGGAGTGACTATCAACTATGCTTATGATGTAATGTGATTCAATTATTTAAACACCTCAGTAATTGTTTCCTTGAAAGTCAATAACACTAATTGATAGTTAATTATCTCAAAATACACATGCACAATGCAGAATATAGTCATATTTAAAGATTTAAAAGAACAACAAACTGGTTGTGCTTTATTAGGTTGGATCCAATTGAAATCGCTTCCTTTTCCACTCAAAAAAGGATGCAACCGCTTCTTGTACAGCAGCTCTGACCCAATTTGCTAATTTGTACAGACACAGTGCGAATTATCTCCCCATATATTCATTAAAAAAAAAACATATCCACGAAGTTACCGTGAGGTTGATTTTTTTCTGTTCATTTTTTTTCTTCTTCAGAAAATATTGTATTGACATTTCCCCCAACCCACCCCACCATGTAAAGGGGCCTGCACGTTAATGGGGCGCTCACAAATCACCGACTCATCCACCTGCAGCCAAGAGTAATATCTGCACCGCGATGAGACGTAGCGCTTCATCTATTCTTCGCGGCGCAGTCGTCGGTTAAGTTTTATTTTCACGAAACGTGTACAGGTGAACGGTGCTTCATTGATGCAATAACAAGTGTGTGTGCGTGTAGTGTAGCGGTTAGCGCGCTGTGCTACAAACCTGGCCACCCGAGTTCGATTCCCGCTCACGGCCAACACTGGTGACGATTATCTGAACCGGTCCTGGGCCTCCCCTAGGTCGACTCAGCCTAAAATGATTACCTATTGCGGTGCGTAAAACATCGCCACTCGGGACACAAAGGCGGCCAAGCGTGGTGCTGGCCACCCACCCCTCGTGTGCCATTCCGGCCTTCATAGGTGCTCGCTAGCAGCACTTGCCCCAACAGTCTGCTAAGGCTACACGGGGGATCTTTGTCTTTGTGTCCCCCTCCTAAAGCGGGAAGTCAAATTCCTGTTCGGGAAACGGTCCCAGTTTATTTTTCTCTT